CGTCGGAGCGTTGTTGTTGTTGTTGTGGTAGGAGGGTCGTAGCAGCGCCTAGAACTTACGGTTCTCGGCGCGGCTATGACGATCGATAAGCAATCGGAATCTTACCAGTGGCCAGGAAACGCAAGATACCGAGGATCAAATCGGAGCTGAGATGCGTGGGTGTCCGGTGAAGCTGCCCAGTGCATGGGTGACAACGCGAAAACTTGGGCCTCAGTCACGTGGAGAACAACCACGGACGCGATGGCTAGGAAGCTAAAATACAGAGGTCAGAAAATTTCCTCAGCTGCACTGCCTTGCAAGAGAGCTGCCTGTCAGCGCTCGGGCTGCGCATAAGGCATCTGCAGCGCCTCGGCGCACTGCCGCCGGGCCCTCGCTGGACCGCGGAAAGAGGGACACGGCCAGAAGCCTGGGTTCAGGTTCTGTTGGATGCTCAGGACTACGATTAGGGTTAGGGCCAGGGTGGGTTGGTAACCAAGGCCTAAGTTCGCAGGCTTCTGCAGAAGATCCGAGGTCCTTCCGACAATGCTTTCTGGCTCTGACTCTGACCTTCAAGCCTGCCGTCATTGCGGTGATGGTTTATAGGTGATGTGCCTCTCAAACACCTGGGAAACACATCAGCCATGCTGCCGGACGTTGCTGCTTTCGTGGCTCACAAACACCTGCGAGAGACATGGGTTGGACCATCGGCTACTGTCAGGCATCTCTGACGCATTTCCCCCCTCTTTCCACCTCGCCGTTTCCGAAGCCGTCATGCGGCGGAGCTTGGCTCATCTGCCGCTGAATGTCAGCAAACTGCTCCGGGAAGGCTTCACTGATGGCTTTCTGCAGATTTCCTCGGGATTCGCTTGACATGATGGGCTCTTCTACTGCATGATTGCAACTTTTTCTGCCAGTCGCAACAGCATACCATCTCGCATCCAGGGTGTTGCGGACCCTCCTCAAACAGAAAGACCCCTTCAAAATGAAAGGCCCAGTTTCAGCAAGTCTCCGGAAGCGATGCCGGCGGTGTTCGCCCCGTACATGATGAAGGTAGGCACATCAAGATCCGTCTCGACAGGCCTGCCACCAGAGCTTTTGGCGTGCTCTCACACCTCCGAACAACCTCCTCAATCGCGCTTGAAATGTATTGCTCTTCTGGCGGCACTCCTACGCCCCGTTTCAATTCCGAGCTGGGACAAGTAACGTTTCCAGACCAATAGTTCCAAGTCCCGTCCCCGAGAGCCTGACGCCGGCATCCGGAGGGCGAGCCACAGCAGAGCTGCCGGAAGAGGAGGAGGCTGCCCCTCCTCCGGGAGTGGCGAAGGGATCCCTTGGAGCAGAATGCCTAAATACTTCCGGGAACAGCAAGCTTCTCTCTCAAACCAGAATCCTGTCAAGAAACCCTTCATAGCGCAAAAGCCACAAAAGTCACAAAATCCTACACCCCCTGATGGGGATTCGGGGTCCCGCCTTGAGTTCCCACCGCTTCGCCAAGATCCCCCAAGGCCACCGCAGTCAGGTCCCCTGGCGGGTCCCGGTTTACCCCACAATGGGTGGCAGAGGTGTTTTGGTGCTCATAGTATATGGGGGTGTTTTAGAGTCCCATATTCTAGGGGTCTTAATACTTCGAATGGGATTTTGGTGCATATCACAGTTTGGTCATGTTGGGTGACAATTGCCCGAATTGGGGGGGGGGTTCTTGTTTGTTGCATCACTCACGAAATGGCGTTCCAGCTTTGATGTTGAGGGGCTCAGGGTTTAGGGTTTGAGATCTGGCGCTTCTACTGCTGACTGGGGGGTTTGGGATTGAATGTCCCAGGCTATGTGAACGAGTGCAAAGTTTTACCACCGTCGGTACTTCATTCCTACCCATTTACCATCACAGAGCTTCAAAACTGTACGACATCAGACACATGTAAAACTGCAGATGGGCTCGACATATAGTATATGAAATCTCTACCTCTTCATGGAACAATCCAGAAGTGTGGTACTGGGACTGCGACCCGAAAACTACATACAATCGATGCGAAGCAAGCAGACGACACAAAGCAAGAGGGCTGGTAAGAAACCCCCGAAGCCTAGAAAGACAAACCCCAAAGTCTCTGCTTGCAGATTCGCCTCTGACGACACGAACGGCAACACGTGGAGCGAGCGGCGCCTTGGGCAAATTGCAACTCTTCCAGTTGCTACGGCTGCCGCTTGCTGGTGCCATGCCGACGACAACGACGACGAGGCTCCATCCCAGGGTCGAGGGCACGGGTGCAGCAGCTTCGGGCATAGCGACCCGACCCCTTCAGAGCCAGCATCATGAGCATCAGAAGGGCTCCTCCTCGCCTGAAATGGCAAAGGTCCAGCTGCAGATCCAGGCGGGGATTTGACCCCTCGAAGATATTCGCTTCAAGCTGTGGCACACACCCCTCTTTGCACTCATCGGCAAAAAAAAGGGACGTCTACGAAAGCTCCTGCAGGCAGCTTCGCGACTACTCGTAGTACCGTGCAACATCCAAAGGGCTCCGGTTTACAGGTCAAGGTTTTTGGATCTTGGATGTGCAGAAGCCGCGTGCCAATCTAAATCCCAGACATCCCAGGCCCAAACTCCGAATGCCAAGCACCCGTAGAAATCGTGCAAACGATGATAGTCACTGCCGTTATTATCACTTTGAACATCTCGAACTCTGAGCAGAGATGCTATGTGTCAGTATCCGCAGCCAGGGCACCAGGGCCACAGCTGCAGCCTCGGACGTGGCGGCGTCGCGGTCCGCAAAGGTCAGGAGCAGCATGGCAGGGCACACGGGGCTTTGGGGCAAATCCGGGAACGGACATGAGAGGCATGGGTGGGGTTCAACAAACGTCGACTGTCTGGAGGATCTTGCGTGCTTGGCATTTGCATGGGCTGGTGGATGCTGTCGTGGAATGAATTGCTTGTTCCTGACGGCGGAGGCGAATAGTCGCCATCGTCACGAGAACTGCGGTCACCATATCATCATCATCATCATCATCATCGTCATCATCATCATCATCCTCACGAAAACCAGCACCCAGCAGCAACAACAAGACCAGGATACGTGTTGGCTACCCAGTACCACCACCACCACTACCACCACCACCACCATCACCACCAACACCAAAATCGTCATCCTCATCATGATGATCATCTTCTTCACCAAACATTCACCACCGTCAAAAGTCATGATCATCATCATCATCGTGATAACTACCATCATCATCATCATCATCGTCGACATCATCCGCCTCGAGATCAGCATTGCACTTATGGTTGTTGCTGAAGTTTTTCGGGTGTCACCAGAATACTTATTGCATGCTGTTGCCGCGGCTAGTGCGCTTCTCCTTATTCCGGTCGGTACTGCCACGACTACTTCATTTGCAGGTTGCGTTTCTGGCCTTCAGCGCCCTATCAGACACTATCACTACTGCAGTGTTGCTTAAAGCTTGCAAACCCAAAAGCTTCAACTTGGTCCCCCGGCCGAGCCGCTGTTGTCGTCGCTCCGGGAGAGCGCGCGTCGGCTCAGGGGACCAGCTGCCTTTCCAGCGATCTCTGTAGATTTTAGGGCTTTAGGGTTTCAGGCTTTAGGGTCTAGGGTTTTACGGCATCCTGATCCCAACAGAAACTGTTACTTTCCAGCCCTGTTTACCAGGTCTCCCTCCCCAACCTTCGGGCGGGGATGCTTACAGGCTAACAATTCACGGCATCGTTTTGACTTGTCGCTCTTGCAAACATGCACAAACATAAGCGTAAACATAAACACATACATACACATATACA